CCTCCCCGGTGCACTTGTCTGCTATTGAGCTGCGCTCTGCTTGCTGCCCGGTTTCCAGCCTCTGCGGGCCCCTGCTGCTGTCTGCAGGCTCCCCCACCCCTCTGCCAGCCTGGCACCTGTGCCAGACATGCCTGCCGTTTCTGCCTGGGCTTCCCGTCCGCACACGCTGCCCGCCACGCCAAACGCCCAGCGCTCCCGTCCAGGGCCCTTATCTGTGACATGTTAGGATTCAGCGTTCACCTGACTTTTACGTCCGCCTGTGGAAGGACACCGTGCCAGACACCCGTCGCCAACAGGGAGGAACTTTCTGCACAGCTTTCTGCGGAGCCTCAAAGTCCGTTTCTGGCAGGGTCGATAGAACATTGTGTTAAAATTGCTGCTTTTCTTTGTTTGGCAGAGGAGCCGTCAGTGGGTGATGCTGCTGCTGTGGGCTCAGAAAGTCAGAGGCCCCGAGAGGGCGCCCAGTGAGTCCTCATGTCGGGGGAACTGAAGTGGGTTCGATTTTAATTCTACTTAACCAGTCAGGGAGTCTAAGATGCCACTCCCGTCACATCACTAAATGACTGGCTGACTGGATGTGGCCGGAAGTGACATGTGCCGCTCACTCGAAATCAGATTTGGTACTTGCAGTTAGTCCAATTTCAGGCTGATGGCTCGGTTTTGGTCCAGGGTATGATGTGGACAGAGCCTCCCTTGCTCTGTGCTTGACTCAGGGTGACCTGTGGTTTCGGTGGCCCTGCAGGGCCACAGAGCTGGTCATTCCCACGATTAGGGAAGCCTGATTCTGGCGTGAGCTCAGACCAGGGACAGTGCCATGTTGCCGGGCATGTGGCGCTGGGCACAGGGGCAGCAGTGGGCAGGCCAGGCGTCAGCCTCCTGTGCTCAGCTCGAAGTGCAGGTGTGGTGTGCTGGGCGCTGTTTGGTCTCGAGACAGCCGTTCCAGCTCAGGCCACGCCGAGGTTGGCTGGCCGCCCTTCCCCACCACATTCCAGGCTCCCAGCCTCCAGGTTCAGCCAGTGCTGCCTGGGGTCAGAACCTGGCCGCTGGCCCAAGTCCAACAGGCAGACCCTTGTACCCTGCATCCTCAGTCACCTTCTTCACCCCCCTGACCTGCTGCCGGCCCCTCCCCCACACTCAGATCTGTCTCCCTGGCGGCGCCCGGAGTGGGTGAGGGTTGGATGTGGAGGACAAAGGTCCTTGTCCTGCCGGCCTGCCTGCCCACCAGCCCAGGCACCGCTTTCCCTGTGTTCTCCATCTGGGCCATAGGACAGCCCGGTGAGGGTGGCAGACTCAGTGTCATTATTCCTCCTTTATTGATGAGAAAATTGAGCCCTGGGAAGGGGAGTGGACATGGAACATCCTCTCTTTCCTCTGGCTGGGGCATGTGCCAGCCTGAATTTCTGCAGCAGTGCTGGGTCCCCGTCCTCCTTCAAGGGCTGACGTGGGCAAAGCCCTCCTCTCCTGGCAGCCGTCCCCTGCCACTCGGCACCGGCGTGCGCCGGCTTGGCCCTCGAGCCAGCTCTGGGCTCCTGCCTGGGCCTTGAATCAGAGGCAAGTGACAGGGAGGCCGGGCAGCGGGGAATTGATGGTGGCTGCAACATCCTGTTTCCAGGGGCAACGGTGGCAACAGTGGCAGCTGCATGCCTGCAGTCCCTGGCTGTCCCCACAGATGTTTCCTGAGGCTTGGTGGTGGCTGTGGTTGGACTGTGGCCAGCCGTGGCTCCGACAGTTTTCTGAGCCTGCTTCTTCAGCCTTCCCAGAAGTTCTGTGAGTTATGGAACAGGCTTTCAGTAAATTGCTTTTGTGCTTAAATTAGCCAGCCTCCGCTTTTGATGCCTGCCATTAGGAGCCCCGCCTGAAAGGGGGGCCTTGTGGCTTGTCAGGCTCCAGGTCTGGGGCCCGTGCCAGGTCTCCTGAGCCCGGGTCAGCTGAGAAATGGCCTCGGGCCCGTCGGGGGCCCGCACTTAGGAGCAGGAACCTGGTGGGAGGCACGGTCGTGGGGCACCTGTTTACCAAGCTACGTAAGCAAACATAAGCTGGCTTTGCTGCAAGACTGCTCGACCTTTAACATGCCAACATGTGGGCTGAGAGGTCCCAGGAGGGGCGGTGCGGCCAGGCTGCTCACTGGCCCCCGGAACCCTTCCTGAGCACTCTTCTGGGAACACGCTTTGGAAAATGGAGCGCTGGACCCTTAGCCTGGGTGGTGGACACACGGATCATCCAGCTCAGCACTGTGTGCGACAAGTCTGCCTTCAGGGGGTCCCTGACTTGTGGTAGCAGTGTCCTGCCCCAGCACCTGCCAGAGGCTCAGGGGGATGGGAAATGTCCCCAGATCACAGCTGTTGATTATGGCCCCAAGAAATGAGGGGAGGCCCCCAGGGGGCTGGGAGAATGGGTGGCCATCTGCCTTTGAAGAATGATCAGATTTTGAAGCCGTTGGATAAGATTTTGCAGAGGAGAGGAGAGCACCCTGGGGGACAAGATCAAAGGCCAAGGTCATTTGGTTAAAATGTCCGTTGTGGCTGGGGTAACGAACCCCAAGTCCTTCCCCCTGCCAGGTCTTTACACACGTTCAGGCTGGTGCTGTGCTGACCCCGCGAGTCGGGTGTCCTTTATCCTGCAGGGAAGGGCACTGTGGCCCAGACGGAACATGGCAGGCCGTGGTGGGGCCCCTAGTCCCCCAGAGCAGTGGAGGGGAGCACCCTCTCAGAAGCCTGGTTTCTACCCCGCAGGCCCACGTGCCCGAGAAGGTGGGCATGCGGGGGTGGGAGGTGTCAGAGCGGCTCTGACGGCAGGTGAACCGCTGAGGTTCCCTAGCACAGTCCCGTGTGCACCCACAGGGACCTGGAGAGGAGCCGGCTCAGACCCGTCAGCGTGCACGGAAAGTGGGGAGTTGGACAAGGCGGCCCGGGGGCTTCGGATGGAATCTCAGTACTGCTCATGCATGCCGTGGTTTGGGGAAGGCTGTTTGACCTCTTCGGGGGTGTCGGTGTGCCTGTCTGCTTTGGCTTTGGCAACTGATGTGTGGTATTAGGAGCAGGTGGGACACAGGCTGGGCACCGGTGACAGGCCCTCGGGGGCTCGTGGGGGTTCACAGTCCAGCAGATGCCAGGCCTTGTGGTGCAGGCTGGACGGGCAGGGAGAGGACAGTCCGACTGAGGGGACAGCAGTGTCAAGGCTGCGTATGAGGGGTGCCGAGGACGTGGGACTGCCGGACCCAGAGGACGCTGTAGAAAGGGTGTGGTGCCTGGACCGTGAAGGGTTTGGCCGACCCTTTCAGTGGAGGGCCGCGTGGCCAGCATTTCGGGGCCATGCTGTCTCTGTCCCAGGCAGTCATCTCTGCCACGGGAAGGTGAAGCAGCCACGGCCAGTGTGCAGACAAGGCGCGTGGCTGGTCCCACCAAGGCTCTACCGAACCAGGCAGCCCGTGGGCTTGGCCCAGGGGCTGCAGCTTGCTGATGGCCGTGGCCCCTCGAGTAATTAGCAATTGACTTGTTGGGTGGGGGTGAGGAGGTGGAAGAGCCCAGGTGTGATGAGGGCCCCAAGGAGTCCTTCCTCCTGTAGGTGAGAGTTAATGGGAGGTCTCGTGGAGGACAGCGTGTACAAGCCGAAATGATGAGACCCAGGGCTCGCTGAGAAGCAGTGTGTGCGGGTGGGGCGGGGAGGCTGGTGGCCGGGAAGGAGGACCCTGGGGTAACACTGCTTCAGGGGGCACGGCTGGATGATGGATGGGAGGGCCTTCCCCGAAACGCGCCACGTGGGAGGGATCCATGCAGGGTGACGGCTTGGGACAAGGCCATTGGATGTTTCCACAAAGAAGGAGGGATGGGGGGAGGAGCAGTCAGCTCGGTCAGGAGCGCACGGGGTCTTGACGGGCATTCAGTCCAGCTGTGTCAGTTTGTCCTGACTGGCTTGGAGGCGGAGCTCTGGGAAGCGGCAGGTTATAAGAAGGGGCGCTGGGGCTGGGCTGGCGCGGAGCTCGAGGCTGCGGTCGGTGCCGGCCAGTCCAGGTAGTCACCCCACCACCCTCTGTTGGGTTCCAGACTTCTTGCCTCCCTGGAGAAAGACTGCTTTTTATAAAATACCAACTCGCTCAAACCCCCTCACTGGCTTTTCCCTGCTGTTAGTGGGTCTCTGCTTCCCTTTAAGCCTTTGCCATGTTGACGTAAGTTAACATCTATCGAAACTAACATGGAAGGTACATCGTAAGGTCTTTTTAAGCATTTGTATGTTTGTCTGGATGTAGCGTGAAGCTTTCCAAGGCAAGAGGGTTTTATTCCAGCTGCTTGCGCCTCCCGACCCCCTCCTGGCCGCAGGCTGGTCCCGTGGTTCATGTTAGAATACTTTATCTTGGAACGTGCTTTATTCCAAATATGGTTTGTCTTCCCCTGGCCGGTTTGGCTCAGCGGTTTGAGCATTGGCCCTCAGACCAGAGAGTCTCGGGTTCAATTCCGGTCAAGGGCTTGTACCTCGGTTGCAGGTTCGAGCCCCAGCCCTGGTCAGGGTCATGCGGGAGGCAACCGAGCCATGTGTGTGTCTCATCGATGTTTTTTCACGCGCTCTCTCTCTCCCACTCTATCTGAAGAGAAATGTAAAAATGTCCTCGGGTGAGGATTCAAACAAAACAAATATGTGTTGTCTTCAGTTCTTTCATGAGAACGTTGGGGACTGTTTAACTGCTGTTGCAGCAGGGGCACCTCGGTTCCAGGTGCTGCTCCAAAGGGGGTCCTCAGCCTCCAGCGAATTGAAATAGAAGGCGGGGGGGGGGGGTGATAACAGCTTGAAGATAATGAGTGCTCCTGGGTGCTCCCCAGGCAATGCCGCTCACGTTCTGTCCTCAGTAATTCTATGGTAAAATTGACACGTGAGCAAATCCCAAAACCGGGGAAAGCACTTTGGGAAACGTTTCATGTCTTAAAAAATGGGGTTTCTGTTGTGCTCCCCGAGTGACCGACTCTGCCCCGTACACTTTCTCACACGCTGCAACATTGTCTCTCCAGGTGCGCGGGAGGATGGACGGGCCCTGCGACGTGAGGTGCGCCACCGTGGCCAGCCCCGTGGGGCAGATCCAGATCTCCGGCTGTGAGCAGGGTCTGCATGGGCTCAGGCTGCTCGGCAGGAAGACGCCAGACGCTGGGTGAGTGGCTCCTGGGTGACCTCCTCTCTGGGGGGCTCAACGCAGCGGGACCTAGCGAGGTTCCTGCCCGCTTTCCGGCGCTCGTGGGGCAACACGGGGCTGTGCGGTCACAGAAATGAGCCGAGGTGCGTGTCCTTCACTTTCGGCACCTGTGCTGCTTGCCTGAGCCGCCTCCCCTGTGATTAAGCACAGAGACACACCCTTGAACCGGGAGCTCCCAGGGGTTTGATGCGAGTACATGTGCAGAGGCGTTGCTTGGTGATGACCCTCAGACGCTGATTCTCGAACGCAAGCACGTGGGGATTGCTCTGGAAATTCGGTGCCCGGCTGCGTGCTTAACCTTGATTTTTTAAATTGGACTCATCCCTGTCCAGTGGCCCAGGTGAGAGTCATACTCATGTCCTTGAGGGGCTCAGCCAGGAGCTCCTTGGCCTCCAGCTGCCGCTGTGTCTGTGTGGCTGGGGAGGCGGGGCCTGAAATCCCCTTGAGCACAGCGTCAGGGACACCTTTTCCAACTGGACCCGTTTCACTTTTGGGAACGATTCCACCTTGTTTCTCTAATTGCAAAGGCATAAGCATGTAAAGTGCTCCTGAACGTTTTGTTCTGAACTGTAACATCCGATTCCCTCCGTGCATTGATCGTGAGGCGCTGGGTCAAGACGGGGGAGGGGAAAGCCGCCCGCTTCCAGGCTCCGTGTTTGTTAACTGGCTAATAAACACAATGCCAAGAACATTAGATAAAGAAAATACATAAGCAACATAAAAATTGATTTTACTGGCCCCCTGTCAGGCACCGCTATAATGGACACCGGCTCCGTGATAAATACCACCTCTGCCTCCGCCGTCGATGTTCCTGTCGAGCACCGTGTTGCAATCAATAGTCTTTCTGAAGACAAAAAATAAGCAAACCCGTGAGCAGTGTGATCCTCCTCTCCGCCAGGACCGGCTGGTGTGTGCAGACGGGCCCCGGGTAACTCGGAGGGAGACTCGCCACAGTGTTCCTAGCGGTTTCAGCTGCACAAAACGTCACAGAAATGGTGCTGAGTTGTTTTTTTTTTTGAGGGGAGGTGTTTAAAACCACTCTTTACAGTGAGTTTTGGGGAAGAGAAAGGAGGAAAAGGAAACAGGCTTTAGAAGAGATGTTGAGTTGGATGGATCTGGAGAAGGAGGGAGGAGGTTTAGTCCGGAGTTTCAGTGCTTGTGAATCAGGTTAGGATTCGGTTCAGCTGTGGACACGGGCCCTCCCAATAGCGGCTTCAGTGGGTGCAGCTGTGGGTCTCGGCGCAGGTGGGCTCCAGGGGCCCAGTGGGCACTCGGACTGTGACTACCTCCTAGCTTTCCTCTGCACACCTGGCTGTGGTCTTTGCCCCAGGCCAGCCTCCGGTGCCAGCCAGCCCCTCAGTCCAGGCAGCAGACAGGAAGGAAGGACTCCGCCTCCCTCTGCAGAGGGGGCAGCTCACATTTCTGTCATCTCACATTTCTGTCATCTCATTGGCTAGAACTGTCCCCTGCCCACAGCAGGCTGGCAGGAGTGCTGGATGGTCATGTATCGGCTAAAGTTCCCATGTGTATAGGGTTCCCATGTGTAAGGAAGAGCCGGGAAATAGATTGCAGGGGACGCCCAACAGTATGGTATATACACACACACATATGTACACATACACACGCACACTCATGTGTTTATAGATATACATATGTGTATGCATGGTTAATTTTGAGGAGGGACATTGAGAGAATAGCATAAAAGTCTGGATGAATACTCGGAATTAACGAAAATTGGAATAAAATCCTTAGATGTTTAAGTGTACAATGAGTTTGCACAGTGGTGTACAACCGTGTAACCACCAACCCAAACAGAGATATGAAACACTCCCCAAAGTCCCCTGTGCTCCTTTCATTGGGTCCCCACTCCCTGGTGGCGTCCAGCACTCTGATTTCCATCACAAGGATTCGTTTCCCTTGTTCTTCAGCTTCGTATCGGTGTCTGGCAGCGGGCTCTTCTGTGTTGGATCCTGTGGCTCCACCGTGGTCTGAGGTTCACCCGGGATGAGCGTACCAGTGAGCAGTTCATTCCTTCTCGTTGCCGAGGCGTTTGCTCTAGGAAGAGAGCACGACTCGTCTGATTGTTGGTGGACATGCGAGTGGTCCGATTTTCAGCTACTATGCGTAAAACTGTGAATATCCGTGTTCCTGCGTCTTTCTGGACGTGTTTCTGTTTCCCTGGAGTCAGGTGTGGGGGTTGCATGGCAAATGTGTCTGACCTCACAAGAAATGACCCCCTCGCCGCACCATTTCCAGCGGAAATGCCTGCGTTGCAGTGGCCGGTGCTCTCACCAGCACTCCTGTTCGTTGTTAACGTTTCAGGTTCTAGTGCGCACGAAGCGCTCGCTTGTTGAGGTTCTAATTTGCAGTTTCTTGATGGCCTGTTCTGAACCCCTTATTGACCTTTCCTGCCTTTTCACCGAGAGGCGTCTGCGAGTCTTTGGCCCATTTTTAATTGGCGTTGTCTTGTTTCTTACTGATTTGTTCTGGCTACAGGTTGTTTAACCAATGTATGTATAATAATTTCTCACAGCTGGAGGCTTGTGTTTTTATTTTCTAGTAGTCTTTTAATGGGTAGAAGTTTTTAATTTTGAGAAAGTCCCACTTAAAGGTCTTTTCCTTTGTTTAGCATTTTTTGTCTTTAAAAATCTTGCCTAATGTAATTACACACATATATTTTCCTAGAAATTCTTTTAAAAGCTTCTTCATTTTAGACCTTTGTGTTGGGATCCTCGAGCCTCATCCTGAATTCCTTTGCCATGAGGCACTCAGTTAACCTCCTCCACGCCGTTACTTGGTTCCAGCATCGTCAGGAGCGACAAGTTGCCTCGAATCGCCTTGGTGCCTTGGACAAAAATAGACTGAGCACCGTGCGCGGGTCAGACACATCGGGACGGTTCAGGTGTCTTGTTCTGCTCTGTGTCAGCAGTGCTGACTCGATCGCGTCACTCTGGGACAAGTCTTGGATCAAGGTAACCTGAGTCTCTGACTTCTTTTTTTTTTTTAAGGAAAAAAAGATTGTTTTGGCTTCTAGGTATCTTAATTTTCCCTAGTACCTTTACAATCAAGGTTTTAATTTCTGCAGGGGAAAAATGCACACTGGTATTTTGCTTGGGAGCTCATGGCCTCTCTGTCAATTTGGGAAGGGTTGACGTCTTTTTCATGAATTTTCCGGTTCATGACTACAGTTTGTCTCTGCAGTTTAGTTTTTCATTTTTCTCGGCAGTCCTGTGTTCCCAGCATGGACATCCTGCCTGTCTTTGTAAATCTGATTTCTAAATCGTGGCCGGTATTCTGCATCCTTTTAAAGCGCCTCTCGTTGCGGCTGGGATCTGACCACGGATGTTTGTGTGTTGATCGTACCTTCTACCATCGCACTGAATCCACTCACCAGTCCTAGGAAGGGCCTTGCAGCTTCCCTGAGATTTCCTGTGCAGAAACCCGATCGATGTCTGTGACTGAAGACAGGTGCCCCTTTCTTTGGGATCCCCGTGCCTTTTGTCTCGACATCCTCCCTGCTGGCTGGAGTCGCCCAGCACGAGGCATACGGTCGTGACGGTGGACCTCCCCCTCGGTCCCGGAGGGGCAGCATCCAGCATGCACCAGTCAGGGGGCCAGGGCCTTTGCCGGGCATCCCAGGTTCTTCTTCAGGCCAAGGATGTCTCCTGTCTGTCTGAATTTCATCAAGTGGTGTTCGGACACATGTCGACTTTTTTTTTTTTTCTTTTTAATCCTCACCCGAGACATTTTTCCATTTTTTGTTCAGGTAGAGTGGGAGGGAGAGAGAGGACCAGAGAGAGAGAGAGAAACATCGATGTGAAAGGGACACATCGAGGGGCTGCCACCCGCATGACCGACCAGGGCCGGGGACAAACTGCAACCGAGGTACGTGCCCTTAGCGGGAACCGAACCCGGGTCTCTCAGGACCGCAGGCCGATGCTTTAACCGCTGAGCCAAACCGGCCAGGGCTGTTTGAATTTCATAAGTGGTGGTTGGACACGTGTCGACGTGATATTTTTTTCCCTTTATTCTTTAAGTGTGGTAAAGTCAATTATAGGATTTTTAAACCGATCTTGAAATGCTGGGCTATACCACTTACTGGATAATGTGGGAGTGTGTGTGTTCACATGTTACTGGTTTAAATTCGCTATTGTGTCTGGGATTTATGCATTCAAGTTCACGAGGGATGTTAATCTCTCATTTCCTTCATCTGTAACGTCTTGGTCAGTTTTCGGCCCCCGGGTTATTCTGGCTGCAGGAAGCATCACTCTGACCCCTTTGTTTGGAAAGGGGCATGTGTGGGATTGGTGTGACTTGGTCCTCAAGCTGCGGATAAATTCACCGTGTGCCTGTGCGTGTGCACGCGCGTGCACGCATATGTGTGCGTAGAAAGGCATCTGATTGAAATTCCTCTTGCCTCGCCGAGTTAGGTGCTGCCCTGTCCTGCTGGAGGGGCGCTTCCCCGTCCCACTTGGCTCTGGGCAGGCGGAGCCCTCCGAGGCCATGCTGCAGCCTGGTGGCCTGGGGTGGTGAGCAGAGCATCCCGGTCCTCAGTGGCGTCCTCCTGGTCCCCACGTGAGCACGGCCGACTCTACAGGGTGGGACAAGATAGGCTTACCGTCGTGAGCACTGTAGAGTTTGTTCTTGTATTTATTAATTCTTGTGTTTTCCAGATGAACAACTGGAAACCTACTTTTGCCCCACCCTGTATATACGGCTTCATTGGTGATTGATTTTTTTTTTTTTTGGTATAAATCAGTCATCTTTCCTTCCCTAGAAATAGTTGCGTGAAGACTATCAGTTTGGAAAGGAGTGTAATAGCCTCCGTCTTAGAACTTCCTGCCGACATCACGTTCCCATGAACCACCGGCAGGGCCAGGAGCCGCTGGCTGCTTCCTCCGCCCTCCTTCACCAGGAGGCCGCCTTGACCTTGTCGCCGTCCCGCAGTGTCTAAGACC